AAAGTTCGAATAATTCCTATATGTCACAAATTTGTTTTTGACTTCAAAGTTCGATTCCAAATCAACGATACAGTAAGAAAGGCTATGATCCGATTTTAAATTCCCACTGACAGATCCTCCCTCTATCACAATTTCTTTGTCATTAATGAAAATAGGATCTAGTAATGCTTTGCCTCTGGTTGGTTCTTTAACAAGTTCAATGAAGTCATATGACTTGAAACAGTCATCAATTATATTATTTGGCTGTAAGAGATCATGGTTTAAATCACCCAAGCAGACCACAATATCAGAAGATGGAATAAACTCACTTAAAACGCTCTCCATATCACTAACAAAATCTTTGACAGAATTATTTCTTGGAGGTCTATATATCACACCAACAGTAACGAATCTACGAAGTATTTTGAATTTAACCCACAAAGTCTCACAGGCTTGATTAGATAGGACTATATTAACATCCAACAGCTGACATTTAATATGATCTTTTATGAAAAACCCAACTCCTCCGCCTCTAGAAGCCCTATCCTTTCTTAAGAAATAATACCCCGGTATAGCAAACATATCTGAACCTACATCATCCGACAACCAACTTTCAGTAATACCTACAATGTCTAAGTCCATGTCTAAAACTAATTCTGAAAATTCATAAAACCCAGTAAAAATTGATTGTAAATTTAAATGTGCAAACTTCATGTTTGCCAAATAGCAGTAAGCTTATTCTAATCATGCCCACCAAACAAATTGTGTGAAGAATATCCTCACTATTTTTGTGCTTTTTGGAAAAAAGAGAATATTTCAATATTATTATACAATTGTACTCATTTGTGATTGAAAAAAAAAAACAATAATAATATATCCATGAATGAACTCCTCAGTATTTCCCTGATTTAAATGAATTTTATATCAAAATATTTTTTATAGAGTTGTGCTCATTTGCGCAATAATAAAAAAAAAACAGTGATTATACACCCATAAATAAATAACTCAATAGACTATGAGTTTTCGTATTTACTCAATAGTTATTCACTGATTTGAATGCATTTTATACCAAAGGAACATTTGCCATTTGCATACAGAAACAAAAGTAAATATACCTCAATCATGTGAACAAGTGAACAATAATCAATACCCAGCAATAAAATTATTACACTAATTTCTATTGATTGAATACCTTCTGTAGATTCGACTATCATTATGCCTATCATACTGAATATAGTAAAAAATAGAAAAGAGATATAAACGCGTACAAAGAAAGGTACCAAAACATAATACAAACTTCTGAAAAATTGACAAAACAAAATAAATATCCGACGAAGCCCAGCTACTCAGTAGGTTCCACAAGAAGTTCTCTCAATTCATTGAAGTTGGGCTTTGTGATGGAATTATCCACTTTCCACCTGATTTTTCCATCCAATGTCCACACGTTTTTGTTACCATACTTTTTCTCAGCAGCCCTCAATGCATTATATCTAAAGTTGGTAAGGTCTTCTCTCACAACGACTCCAGTTCCTTTGAACTTAGCTTTCGCTCCATAAACCAGTTGTTTATTTTCGAATGATTTGAATTTCACGAAAATAAAATTTGCCATCTTATAACAAATTTCTATGTCTGAGCTTCTGATCTGATTTAAACCCATTTTATGTTGCAAAAAATTTGTCATGATGCTTTTCATATCACTACCATCATTGACTTTGAGTCCAAATATTCTCAAATTATTCCTTTTGCTGTATTGTTCAACGGCATCAAGTCGATCATCAATCATGGCAATGCTTTTTTTATTTTCTAGAGCAATGGAATCGAATTTTGATACTCTATCCTCCAATTTCTGAAATATCTTATATCCTCTAATTTTAGAAACTGTGATAAATAACAATCTGAAATTATTTGAAAAATGTTTCCACTCTAACTTTTCATCAATAAATACCAGAAAAACTGAATACATGATTTTTCAACAAAAAAATAAACAGAAAATTCAGCTCAATATTCAAATAAAGAATGAATTCTTGAAACAAACTGAACAGATAAAGTATTTAGGTATTTGGTTTGATGAAAAATTGAAGTGAGACAAAGGACAAACATATTGAGGTTCTGACAAAGAAAATATCTCCTATTATTGGTGCATTGAGAAGATGTTCCAAACTCAATATAAAAATTGCAAATATAGTACTCTACTCACATACACTAAGTCAAATCAACTATTTAATAAATGTTTGGGGATCTTGTTCTAAAAATAATCTTAATGAAATATCAACATCATTAAAATCACTGTAAAAAGTACTGTATGGTCTTCCATATGGTACACCAACAACTGAACTTTATGCCTTAACAAAAACATATTATTCAGAAGAACTGTACAGATTAGAGACTCTGGAAATTTTATACAATATTATAAATAAAAATTTAAATCTAATATTATTTTGACAAGAAATTTTGAAATTCATAGTCATGAAACTAGACAATATAACTTATTTCACCTTGATGCTGCTAGTTCTACACTTGGACAAAAAAAAATTCACTCATGCTGCCTTATATGAGTTCAATAAACTACCAGATGAAATTAAAAACTGCAAAGATATAGGTACATTTAAAAAGAAAATAAAAAAAACTTATCATTTCTGAGAAATCTTCAAAATATATCAGTACGTTATGTCCTTGACTAGAATGCTTTTCTTTGTTCATTGATTGTTTTGTGTTATTGTGATTTATTGTGATATCCTGATTTATTATTCATATTCACTTCTACTCATGTTTGTGTAGTAGTTCATAGATATTTATTACTTATTATTTTATAATTATTTTCTTCCTCATACCAGAACTTGTTCTGACTGGAAGATATGTTTGATAAATAAATAAATAAATAAAAATAAATTTGTATTCTCACTTGAACAAATGTTTAGCCCAAACTATGCAATGAACTGGTTCAGATGGAGTATTCCTGATAGTGCAACCAGGAAATGTTTTCTGAGCTGGTTTTGGCTGGCACTCATAACACTGAGTCACACTCTTTTTGATCAATTCTACTTGGCCAGAATAACCAGAAGTTCCAGATTCAATGAGTGGAACATCAGCAGCCAAGCACATACGGTTAACATGGTTTCTGGCAGCACGATTATCCAAGGCATTCAATACTAGATTGAACTTCTTGAAAAAGTTGACTCCATAATCTTGACTACAATGAAAATTATTATAAAATTATTACTTATGGACATGAAGAAAACAAATCACCTTGTAATACTGTCATGGTATGTTTTAATCTTCAAATCAGGATTATAGCTCTTAATACTTAATCCAGCCACAACTGCTTTAGGTTTTCCAACATGTTCCTTTCTGAATAAGAATTGTCGATTCAAGTTGCTTACATCAATTGTGTCCAGATCAATCTGGAATGCAAATAATCAGTAATGGGCAATGAAAACTGAGACAATTTTCAGTAATAACTGCAACTACATAATAATATAACATAACATAAACAGGAACATACCACCCGGCATTAGGTATGGACAGTACTTGCTGGGAATGTTTACTTACAATTTCAATATCTTGAAATCCTGATAATGCTAAATTCTTCAATATTTCACAACCTATTCCACCGGCCCCAACAACCAGAACTCTGGATTTATGTATTAAATCGCTAACATTTTCTTCAACAGACAATGCCGACAATGGAGATTGTATTGCTGACATTTTGATACAGACTGATGAATTAACACTGCATACAATTTAACTGACACTTTCAACTGGAAACTACACAACGTATTATCTATTGTTTACTATTCCTAGTTTTCCTTTTACTACTCAAATCTCAAATACAAGTGGCCAAAATTCGAAAGATAAATTCTGTAAAACCATGTAAAACAAACAACATAACACCAATCACCAATGCGGAATGTGCGGCCAATGCCAATGCCAAACGAATTTTTTCAAGTCAGCTGTCATCTGTCATATGTCCCATTTGTCCGACAAGAAGTGTCAGTAACTACAACAATTTAATTTTACCGCAGCCACGTACTTTTGACTGATGACCAATCAGAACAATTTTTGAAATGGTGGTAAATTCGAATCACTGCTTATAAAATATTCGGGTTATACCGTTACCTCACGTGGGTAACGGTTATACCGATAACTTGTTGCATAATTATAATGAAGAGTATCGGTTTAAGAGTTGAAATAATCCTACAGAGAAGTGGAAGGATTATTCTGGTATTATTGTTGGTTTATTCAACAGAACACAACTATATTGTTCTTCAGATTCCAATCAAACTGATGAAAAAATCAAAAAATCAATATACATGCATATGGACACAGATTAACAAACATGGGTTGGAACGGTTGGAACATGAATTACACGTCCACATTACACTCATATAAAAATCAGAACTGAGATTGATCTCAAATGAGAATTCATGCACAGTCGGAAAAATAAAATTCAAATTCGACGCCCTGTTTAGCCGCTAAACGTAGCGTTTTGTATAGAGGTAATTGTAAATATCGGTTTAAATCATCAGATTTTGATCTCAGAGGAGTGAGGATGGTACGAGGGGGATGGTATCATTTTGAACAGACCTTACACGTACAACCTGTATAAGAAATACGACATTGATGCGTTCACAACCTAGTTTTCATTCAAATAGAAGATTTCTTGTGACCGCAATGAATAACTTAAATATTTATGTATGCAACGTTATATTATTTTCATAATCCCATAGTGATGTTATTTTGATTTAACGGTATTCTGATGCGACCATTGAAGTTAATGTTAACAGCCTACGTCCGTTAAGATTGTTTAACGGCCGGCGGCAGTTAACTGTTCCATAACAACATGATGTTGGAATTTTTCGATAGAATTACGAGGTACGTGGTTAATTAATTGTTGTTTCCTCGAAATCAAAATGTAATTTTTCAGTCCATTCGGCCGCTGCGGATTCCATGCCATCAATTATTAGCGCTTCAGTTTGTTCGAACTTCCATATATTGCAATGGCAGGCAAACACGAAAATAAATCCTTGTAAAATATGTATAATGTTGTAAATGAAAAATGTACAAGGATATATTGAAATAGTAGAGGAAAAAATTGGTATTACAAAATAAAAAAATGTATTCTTTATACAAAATATACAGCTTAATAGTAAAGGCGGCTAGTGATAATCTTCGAGAATAAAATCACCAGAAAGTCTTTGCAGGTCTCGAGAAGACCAATAAGTATCACATATTTCTTTAGTAGACGAACCGCCCAACAGATCGTCCAACTCGTTCCTGATAACCTGAGTATTTTCTGACAACTCCAGCAACGTTTTGGACGATTGGATCGGTGCAGGTTCTACTGGTTCCTCAAGTTCAGGTGGTTCTTCCTTAACCCCCAATGGAGACGGTTCTTGCTTAACCACACATGGTACAGCCTGTGTTGGTTCCCCGGAGTCAGTTGGTTCTTGCTTAACTATAGCTTCACCATTTTCTTCCGGTTTTCCTGAAGTCTTGTGGGTTTGTTTTGAAATGCGTGGATTCTGGGTAACATTTTCAGATTGGAGGTGGCTGGAGTGTTCAAATTCCACTAGGAGATCCTGTACATCCTTGGGTAGCATCTCGAAATCCTTTATGTCTTTGGGGAGTTCATTTGCTACAGAGTGTTCGTAGCTCATTGCTTCTGCAGCTGGGTTATCTGGATGCCTTTCAGGCTCATTTTCGCCCTCATCTGTTTGATGCCCTTTACTTTTTTCGGGTTCTTTATTACTGCCTCTAGGAAGGTCTTTGGTAACAGACTGTTCATTGTTAATTAATACTGCAGCAGGTTTCGTTACTTCTGAAGGACATTTTTCAGACTTCTTCTCATTTTTGCCAGACTGATTATCACGTTCCGTTTTGGAGGATTTATCACTTGATTTTCTTTTATTGCTATCCTGTTGTAAGGGAGTATGAATTCCATTTGAAGTCGTAGTACTTTTATTGACTTCTTGTTGTATGCCTAACTCACTACATGGCACTTTGGTGGTTGTTTTTTCTTTAGAAACTGTAGATGTTTTCTCAACATTTCCGCTTTTATTTTGATCAGTTACTGAGGCACTTTTTATTGCTTTAGAATTATCATCTGGTTCATTTTTAATGTGCAAGGAATTATTCATAATATCTTCAACAGTAATTGTGATTTTGTTTATTCCCTCATCATGATTATTTTTGGCATCTTCGATATCTGCGGGTTCAATTTTTATTTCTACTGGAATCACATCACTTTCGATTATATTCTTCTCACTTTCTGAAGGGGCTTCTCTGTTTGGATTTATTTCAGGCTCTTTGGGTGTTATTTGGTCTCTCTGTTTGCTCAGATAATCAGTGTCACCATGTTTTTGTACAGGGGTTTTAGAACCTGCTGTAATTATTTCTTCAGTGGACGCAGTACAAATATTTTCCTTATTTTTGAGCTCGTTTCTATCGCTTCTTTCAATGTTGGGTTTTTTCGTATCTTTTTTTTCTTCCGATGTTCCGGCTTCATTGTCCGATTTTCTTTTGGTAGACCTGTGTTCGGCTTCATTGTCAATCTCTTTACTTTTTTCAGCGTCTTGAATGCCAATATTGGGCATATCTTTGCCGACTACAGGATTCTTCTTGTTATGCTCAGAACTTCTAGACTTGCTTTCAACTTTCTTGAGTATCTTACTTGGTCGTTCATTCACTTTGTCTGAAGAATGTTTGTTTTTTGATTTTTTCACTGTTTCTTCACTTTTACCAGGACCTTGTTGAGCTTCTTGACCATTCTTTGATTCCATTGTTTTCGGAAATTGAACAGTAGATTTTTTTGTTTCATTTCCTATAACCAATGAGTCTTTACTCTTTTTAAGGTTCAGGCTTGGATCCTTCTGAATGTCTGTTTGCTCAGTGTTAATTATTGTGGATCCAGCGATGGCTTTATTATCTTTAGCTGGGTTTTCCACTTTATATTTTTTCCTATCTTTACTCCGGACCGATTTTTTATCATCATGGTCTGATTTTCTTTTGGATATCTTAATCGTTTCAGGTTTCATCAGAAGTTCCATAGAGGTTTCAATGCATTTTTGGCCTAGGAACTCAATTTTTGTATTCTTGTTTGATTCTGGATTATTCAGACTGACAGTGTTTTCTGTGTCACCCTGAATATTTACGGAATTTCGGTCTGAACTTGCCACATTATTGTCTTTCAGGGTTGGAGTGTTTGTGGATTTATGGCTTTCTTTGTTATCTTCGGTTACATTTGGTTTTTCATTGCTAGATGATTTTCTCTCTTTATTCTTTGAAGATTTTCTATCATGATGGTGTGATTTCCTTCTGGCTGCTGCACATTCTTTTATATTTTTTATAAGGTCTTGACCGAATGACTCATTTTTGCTTATATTTCTATCTAATAATTTGTGATTGTCTTTCAATGACTTTATTTTTTTAACATCAGTAGATTCCCGATCTTTATTTTCTAGCGATTTCCTTACATAGTCTGATTTTCTCTTTGATATTTCGCTAGCTGCAGATTTCATCGGAACTGTAATGGAAGATTTGATATTTTTTTGACCTAATGACTCTGTTTTACTGTTTATGTTCAACTTTGGATCATTTTGACCATCAGAGTGTTTAGTGGGACCCTGTATATTTGAGGAAATTGTAGAACCTGTAACAACAGTTTCTTCATTGATTGGTTTGCTGGTTCTTTCTTTATTTTCATAGTTTTTCTTATTGTCTTTGGCTAAATTTGATTTATCAACGTCAGGGGTTTTCCGATTTTTATTTTCCACCGATTTTCTAGCATGCTCTGATTTTCTTCTTGATATTTTGCTTGCTGCTGGTATTATAGGCACTGAAGTTTTGGGAGATCCTGTGACGTTTTCAATAATTTCTTGACCTGATGACAGTATTTTTTTATTCAAGCCTGGTATGTCGACGGGCACTGTAGAACCTGAAACAATTTCTTCCCCGATTTGAGTTCTGCTTTTCTCTTTATTCGTTGGTTCACAAGATTTTTTATTGTCTTTAATTGATTTTGGTTTTTTGTCTTCAGCAGCTTTCCCATCTTTATTTTCTACCGATTTTCTAGTATGATCTGATTTTCTTTTGGATGACACTTTCATCGGGACATTTTCAATATTATTTTGGTTCACCTTTTTTTCATTCAGGTTCGGTCCGTGATTTTTCGAATTGTTTGATTTATCAGAGTCACTCTGTAATTCCACAGGGATTGTAGAAACTGCCACGATATTTTGTTCACTGATCAGTAAGCTGTTTCTTCTTTTATTCGCAGATTCACTGGTTGTTTCATCTTTGTTTGATTTTTCATCTTCAGGAGTTTTTCTATCTTTGCTGTCTAGTGATCTTCTAGCAGAATGATCTGTTTTTCTCTTCTTATTTGATGCAGGTTTCATCTGGCCTTCGATGGTGGAAGATTTCGTTCTATTTTTGAAAATATCTTGACCCAGTGCCTCTCTTTCTCTATTTGTGTTCAACCTTAGAGCAGTGTCACCTTGTAGATCTGGATTTCTTGAAGAATCTTCTGCTTCATTACCGGTTCGAGTACTGTTTTCTTCTTTGTTTTTAGGTCCACAGGATTTTGCATCTTTGGTCAGATTTAGTTTTTCATATTCAGGAGTTTTCCTATCTTCTATCGATTTTCTAGCAAGATGATCTGATATTCTTCTTTTACTTGATGCAAGTTTCATCTGCCCTAAGACGGTAGAAGATTCTGTAACATTTTTTGAAATGTTCTGATCCCATGCCTCCCTTTCTTCATGTTTATTTGACCTCAGAGCATTTTGATCGCCTGGTTGAACACTTTCAGCCTGTTTATCATCTGGATTTATTGTAGAATCTTTAAAAATTGGTTCCTTATCGATTTGAGTGCTGGTCAGATTTGGTATTTCATCTTCAGAAGTTTTCCTATCTTTGTCTTCTACTGATTTTCTTGATTTACTTTTGGATGATATTTTACTTGATGCAGGTTTCATCGGGACTATGATGTTAGAGGAATGATTTTGATTGTCTGCTTGTTCAGTGCCACTCTGTATATCATCGGTACTTTTAGAATCTTCATTATTTACGTCTTTGTCAAATTGAGTGCGGCTCCTTTCTTGAGACGTTTTCCTTTCTTTGTTTTTGACTGATTTTTTAGCATGATGGTCTGATTTTCTTTTTGATATCTTACTTGCTGAAATGTTAATCGGTTCTATGATGGTAGGGAATGCTTCTGAATTTTCAATAACCTCCTTACTTACAGAATCTCTTGTTTTATTCATGATCAACTTCAAATCAGTTTGAATGCCTGGTTGTTCAGTGTTACCCTGTATATCTGGAATGTTCGTAGAACCTTTAACAATTACTTCTTTCTCGATTTGAGTGTTGTTGTTATCTTTACATGGGAGTTCACACGACGCATTGGTCAGATTTGGTTTTTCAACTTCAGAAGTTATCGTTTCTTTTTTGTCTAGGGATTTTCCAACATGATATTCTGACCTTCTTCTCGATATCTTACTTGCTCTATTTTCTATTGGTCTTACGATAGTAGGGATTGCTTCTGAATTTCCGATAATCTCCTGACCCAAAGAATCTTCTCTATTCATGGTCAACTTCAAATCAGTTTGAATGCCTGGTTGTTCAGTGTTACCCTGTATATCTGGAATGTTCGTAGAACCTTTAACAATTACTTCTTTCTCGATTTGAGTGTTGTTGTTATCTTTACTTGGGAGTTCACACGACGCATTGGTCAGATTTGGTTTTTCAACTTCAGAAGTTATCTTTTCTTTTTTGTCTAGTGATTTTCTAACATGATGTTCTGACTTTCTTCTCGATATCTCACTTGCTGCATTTTTGATTGGTCCTACGAAAGTAGGGATTGCTTCTGAATTTCCGATAATCTCCTGACCCAAAGAATCTTCTCTATTCATGGTCAACTTCAGATCGGGTTGGATGCCTGGTTGTTCAGTGTTTTCCTGTATATCACCTGAAATCATTGTGGAAGCTTCAACATTGACTTCTTTCTCGACCTGAGGGTTATTGTTTTCTTTACTTGGGAGGTCACACGACCTTTCCTTGTCTTCCGTCAGATTTGGTTTTTCAACTTCAGGAGTTTTCTTTTTTTTGCTGTCTACTGATTTTCTAGCATGATGTTCTGATTTGCTTCTGGATAATATCTTACTTGCTGAAGTTTCTATCGGCCCTGAGATGGTAGGGATTGCTTCTAAATCTTGGGAAATTTCCTGACCCAAAGAATCTACTTTTCTATTCATGGTCAACTTCAGATCGTTTTGAATGCCTGGTTGCTCAGTGTTACTCTGTATATCACCTGGAATTTTTGTGGAACCTTCAACAATGACTTCTTTCTCGGTCTGAGTGTTATTGTTTTCTTTACTTGGGAGTTCACACGCCCTTTCCATGTATTTGATCAGATTTGGTTTTTCAACTTGAGCAGTTATCCTTTCTTCGTTTTCTACTGATTTTGTAACATAATGTTCTGATCTTCTCGATGATATCTTACTTCCGGAAGTTTTCATCGGTCCTGCGATGGTAGGGATTGCTTCTGAATTTTGGATAATTTCCTGACCCAGAGAATCTACTTTCCTATTCAAGGTCAACTTCAGATCGTTTTGAATGCCTGGTTGCTCAGTGTTACCCTGTATATCATCTGGAATTTTTGTGGAACCTTCAACAATGACTTCTTTCTCGGTCTGAGTATTATTGTTTTCTTTACCTGGGAGTTCACACGACCTTTCCATGTCTTTGATCAAATTGGGTGTTTCAACTTCAGGAGTTATCGTTTCTTTGTCGTCTACTGATTTTCTAACACGATGTTCTGATATTCTTTTCGATGATATCTTACTTCCGGAAGTTTTTATCGATCCTACGATGGTAGGGATTGCTTCTAAATTTTGGATAATTTCCTGACCCAAAGAATCTACTTTTCTATTCATGGTCAACTTCAGATCAGTTTGAATGGTTGGTTGTTCGGTGTTTTCCTGTATATCACCTGGAATTTTTGTGGAACCTTCAACAATGACTTCTTTCTCGGTCTGAGTGTTATTGTTTTCTTTACTTGGGAGTTCCATGTCTTTGATCAGATTGGGTTTTTCAACTTCAGGAGCTATCCATTCTTTGTCGTCTACTGATTTTCTAACACAATGTTCTGATCTTCTTCTCGATGATATCTTACTTGCTGAAGTTTTTATCGGTCCTATGATGGTAGGAATTGCTTCTAAATTTTTGATAATCTCCGGACCCAAAGAATCTAATATTCTATTCATGGTCAACTTCAGATCAGTTTGAATGCCTGGTTGTTCAGTGTTCTCCTGTATATCACCTGAAATTATTGTGGAACTTTCAACGATTACTTCTTTCTCGGTCTGAGTGTTGTTGTTTTCTCTACTTGGGAGTTCACATATCCTTTCTATAATATCTTTGTTCAAATTTGGTTTTTCAACTTCAAGAGTTATCCTTTCGTGGATATCTACTGATTTTCCAGAACAGTGTTCTGATTGTCTTCTCGATGATACCATATTTGATTGTCCAGTGACACTCTGTGTATCATCATGAATTATCGTAAAATTTCCTCCTCCATTGGATTCAGTGCAGTTTTTTCTGCTGTTCATGTCTTCACAAGATTTTTCAATGTCCGTGGTCAGACTTGGTTTATCAACGTCATCTGCATTGTCAACCAATATTTCACTCCTAGGTGATTTACTTTTGACCCTGCTCGAGTTATCAGTAACACTTTGTATGTGTAAGGGAATCGTGAAACCTGCATCAATGATTTCTCCAGTGTCTGGTGTGCAATTTTTTTCTGTACACATCATTTTGTCGTCCATTGTTAATTTTGGAGTTTCAACATGGGGCATTTCAGTATCTTCATTTACCCTTAATTTTCTAGTTTGATTGTCTGCCCTTCTCTTTATAGACATTCTACTTTCATCTTCAGTGTCAATCGCTTTTCTTTTTTTAGTTGCTCCAATTGCAGAAGACTGGGGCAGATCTTTGGATAGATTCTTGGGGATAGACTCATCCGATATTTTTTTATTTTCTGCAATCTCTTTGCTTTTACTGAGAAATTTTTGAACTTCATCGATAGTGTTATCGATGTCATTCATCACGCTTTTATGATCGATTTTCAAATGTAAGCAGACCTTATGAGTGCTTGAAGTGCTTTTTTCATCTACGAGATCAGAAGACTCTTTTTCCTCGGTTTTATCGAAAGATCTATCTTTATTGCTGATCAAGTCAGGCTCTCCACTAATTTCATTGATATACTCCTCCAAGAGTTTTTCCGGGATGACAACTTTACTGATTTTGCCTAGCTCTTCATGAGTAACTGGAGGAAGATCGATCCGTTTGAATGTACCATCAGGACCATACAAGTGCGACCTGTAGCCTTTCAAACAATTCGTAGGTCTCAATGTTTCCAAAGCTTTCCTCAATTCAGGAGACCATTGTTTCCAGTTATTAGATATCTTCATTTTAGATAAACGCTGTCTCCCCTCAGGTGTGAACAACCATCTTTCAGGGCTATCAACTTTTCTAGCTGAGTCTTTTTCCATTCTGTACTCTTCCGGAAATTTATCTGGAATGTTCACTCCGTCCAAGGCCTTGATTTCCTCTGCTGTCAAAGGATAATACGACACCTCAACAATGGTGCCGATAGACGAATTCATTTTCAGTCTGAATAGGTTTTTGTTATCAGCATCAGGAGCTATGAATTCTTGTAGGCGTTTTTTCAATTCTGGAGACCAAATGTGTGACTTGTTGAATCTGGTTAGAATCCGAGCGAATCTGTATTCTTCTTCGAGTGAGCTAAATCCAGAATGTGAATTGTTTGGAACTTGCTTGTTTTTGTTTGCTTCTTCCAAAGACTTTGAAATGTTCATTGAATCCTCTTGTGTCTTTTTGACACTTTCAGATTTCAGAATTTCCACTGGAAAAATGTTTTCATCCTCCTTGACACTTGCTACTTCATGAATATCGCTTTCAATAGTTTCTGGGATATCTTCTTTTTGAAGCTGAATTTTACCCACAAGCAGTAAATCGGTAGGAGTGTCAGAATTAGGAATTGAAGATAATCCTTGCTTTTCCAAAATAAACTCTTCAGGATATTTAAAAGGAATTGGTACAGTCCGTTTTAACCATCTCAATTTTTTTGGTGATATTTTCGGTATCGTGACCAACCATGACATTGTTTCAGATATCTTGAGTAGTTTACATTGTGGAGAGTTTAGAGGTACATTTGAGCTTCGCAACTCTTGTATTCGTCTCATGAACTCAGGAGACCAAGAAGCTGCATCTTTGAAGTTATCGTAGATGTACTTCAGACGCTTCAATTCGTTTATCGGTATAAATGGCACTGTCGAATATTCTTCTTTACTCTTGGCAATATTAACATAGGACTTGGCAGTTTTGGCTAGAAGTTCGGGTACTGCAATGTCTGCGATTTTTTGTTCTGCAGTGGAAAAGTGTGAGTAGGGTTTGGGCTTCTGGTGATTCATCGACATTTTGACGTCAACAGAATCTTCTCCGGAAATATCGAGGCTACAACTTGTTGAATCCCTTACAGAAACATTCAAATCGTCATCAGAGATGTCGGAGTAATCTTGACATGATTCTAGCTTTTCTGAATCTGATCCTTGAGCAGCTGAGACTTCATCTTCCATTCTTTTCGCAGTTGCATTTGGAGTATGATTTAAGGATTCTTCTTTTATTTTGTAATTTGACGATCCACATTTTTTATCTGGTGCACAATTTGTTGAATTCAAAATTGATGTCTCTACGATTGGGGTATCTTTATCAGACTTGAACATTTTCTTCAGATTTTCAGTAGTATATTCCAGAGGGACACTTTCTGGTGTAACAACTTTGTTACTGGCTGGACTGTGGGTGTAATTTTTTCCCGAATTCTTAGCACTTGAATCGACTACATCAGTTTTGAAATCGTTTTCTAGTGCATGAACATGAACAGGTAACTCCCAATCCAGTTTTCGTCTGGAATTTCCTGGTTCTTTTCTGAAATTATCGTCGTTTGGAAATTCTAGAGCTGATCCTTGCTTTTCCAAGATGAATTCTTCAGCGAATTTTTCGGGAACAGGAACGTTTTCTCTCAACCATTTGAGTCTTCTCGGATCTATGGGAGGAATTGAGAGCTTCCAGTTCTCTGTCTTGGAAATTCTCATAATTTTGCGTTTTCGTTTAGTGGAAGAAGCGTTTGGGCTTCGGAAATCTTGAATTCGCCTCTCGAATCCCAGAGACCACCTTTTTTTCTTGACATTATCCATGATATATTTCAATCGCTGTAGTTCTTTCCATCTCGTTTTTTTCGCACACAAACTATGAGCTTTTGGAAGATCTCCCAAATCAGTTGTTGCTTTTCTTTTTCCCGTGTCAAATTTAGGAGTTTCGTCTTCAGCAGTTATTTCGGAGTTTTGAATAAGTTCTGATTTCTGTTGTGGCGTATGAGGAGTTCCTTTAGTGGGATGGTTACCTGAAAAAACAGTGAATACAATGTGGGATTCGAGATTAACAGTCAATATCTCGATACTGAGATAAAATTGGCAGGTGTACATACAGGGTGATTCAAGTTTCAAGTCAAGGCACCAACTTGAATTTGTGATAGATCATCATTTTAATCAAAAAAAGGCTTTATAAACATGAGTCCGATCTCGATTAGTAGTGGAGCTACAAGCGGTCGAAGATTTTTTTTTTCTATTAATTAAAACATCTTGCTCACTATTGAGGATATCAATTTGAAAATGAGGTTGTTACTTCCTAGAAGATCTTCAATTTAAGCATTTTATCTACAGGGTCATACATTTTTGGGGGTCATACATTTTTGGGAGTACAGGCTTTTTACCCCACCCAAAATTTTTAGTAGTACACCTCTGACCTCATCTAGTTACCGGATTATGTGAATTGTTCAATTTAGAGACTTTTATTTCTTTTCAATTTATTTAGAGAAACGAACCGTTTTCGAAATAAATAAGCATATCCGTTAGTTTAATTTATTGCATTTTCTGCGAATGTCATCCAATAATAAAATTTAAGCGAAACAACAAAATTAAAATGTTTTTAGAACGGTTATGCTTATTTATTTCGAAAACGTTTAGTTTCTCGAAAAAAATTTAGAAGCAGAAAAAAGCCGCGAAATTGAACGACATAATTAAATTTCATAACTGCAAGATGTCAGAGACGTACAACGAAAAAGTTTGTGGGGGATAAGTATGCCTCTATCACCAAAAACGTATCACCCTATAGATTTTAAAAATCTATAAGATGTTTAAAATTATGATCTTCTAGAAAGTATCAACCACACTGAATTTCTACTTGATATCTTCAAAAGTGAGCGAGATATATTAATTAATAGAAAAAAATAATGAAACTTAGATCCCCTGTAGCTCCGCTTCTGATAAAGATCGGACTCTGTTTATGAACTTTTTTGATATAGAAAAAAATAATGAAACTTAGACCCCCTGTAGCTCCGCTTCTGATAGAGATCGGACTCTGTTTATGAACTTTTTTGATAAAAATGATTATATCTATCACATAATTTCAGTTTGTGCCTTTAAATCTGAATCAACCTCCTAAAGATAAAGTGGACACACTTGAAAGTCGGGAATATACGAAATAAGTTGTAATGATTGTGATAAAACATATATAGGCCAAACCAGACGACCCATAAAAACAAGGTTCAAAGAGCACCTAGCACATTTAAAATATGGTAGGTTAGATAAATCGTGTGTAGCCGAACATATATTCAATCACAATCATAACACACATATTACTAACCTCAAATTAGGTAAGCAAGTTAATAATATTAGAAAATTAGACGCATATGAAAGCTTAGAGATATTTAAGAATAGTAATAGAGTAATGAATAAGGATAATGGACCTATTCCATATAGCCCTCTATATAGTTTAGTGATATAGAGATTAAGATTAACATGTGAACTCGACCATAACAGACATTAACTTGACGGTTAGAATTTTTCACAGTTTGGTGAACATATACCTAGTATATAAGCAGCACACTAGAATAGGATATTTAGTTCTAATTTTCTCCTGAACATAGTTAGCGATACACATGTCGAGGCGCTTGAACTATCGGTTTGGTTAGTAGTAAAACAGAGTAGTGTGATGTATTTGAGTGATGATTCTATTCAAGAAATAAAAAATAATTAGTCCACTCGCCAATTCTCATAAACAATACAGAGGAATGAAAGTTTGAGTATTGGAAATCTGCTCATTAGGTTTAAAATAGACTTTGTATTCTCTGAAAACGGTTAATCGCCAACCTACTGATTGTGAATCTGAAAAGCTTACCGGAAGAGAATGTATTCAATGTCCATCCTTTACCAGGATCGAATCTGAAAAGACTGCAGCACCTCATCAACAGATACTCAACGTCTTCTTTGCTAACACCAGCATCGAGCCGTTGGACGTACTCGAAAATACTATCAAACCCGATGCCGAAAGGATGGATGAGCAGGAAAGTCGATATTATCCCAATCAATTTCGTTTGTTTCATATCGATCGTCTCTTCCTGCAAGTAGTATTGGGAACATTGAGTTATGAAAATGAATTTCACTCGAAATATACAGAGAAGTGCACAAAAAACGGACAGGATTGTAACTTTTGAATGATTCTTGATAGGGTTCTGAAAATTGGTGGGCAGCTAGTATACCAATTTTTGTTCTATCAAATCAATCAATCAATCAAAAATAAACTTTATTGTCAAAGAAAAAAATTTCTTATCGACAAAGATGGTTGATACCTATTTATTTAGAGTCTCATAATAAGTAACACACGTCATGAAAGATATAAACAATGTGAAGTACAGAAAACACAAATATACATATAAAAGTAAAATCAATACAAACATAATTGAAATAATATAACACAACAATGTGTATGGTCATGTATAATGTATCTATATATATATATTTATACATAAAATGAAGACTTGAATCAAAATGCCTCATCGAAATAAAAATTGTCGCGTACTCTTAGTTAATAGTGATATCGTCGAAGAATTCCTGGAGATTATAATATGCTTTTTTCATTAGTATTTCTTTCACAGCTTCTCTAAATTTACTGAGTAGAGGAATAGTTCTTATGGCTAATGGTGAATGGTTATACATCTTTCTGCTATTGTAGATAATCGAATGCTTCGTGAGATTAAAATTGGGGATATACAGGTTCAAGCTGGATGTATTTCTAGTGTTATAACGTGCTTCAGTGTTTACGTTTCCAGAATATTTCTTATGTATCAGACATACAGTTTCGTGGATGTAGATACATGGTAATGTGAGAATGTTGTGAGCTTGAACTTTACTTTACAGATGTATCTTACAGCCCTTTTTTGTAGTACGAATATAGAATTGAATAATTGCTGGTTACAGACTCCCCAGAAATTGACCCCATACCGTAAATGCGATTCCACCAGCGAAAAATATACTTTCCTTGCCACTGCAACACCTAACTCATTTGCAACTACTCCAACTTGCAACAGCGTAGCACCCCGATGCTAATTTTTTACTTAGGTTCAATCTGCCATCAATATGTAGCCCAAGAAACTTACAGTCAGGCTTACTTTCTATTATAGCCTGTGGACACAATGAGAGATTATCTATGGAATATTTGAATGTCATGATATTAGTTTTGGATAGGTTCAGTGAGAGCAGGTTACAGTCGCACCATTCTTCAACTTTAAGCAGATCCTCACGAACAGTCCTAGTTAATTCATCGACATTATGGTTATTCCATAATGTCGATGGTGTTGTGTCGTCAGCGAAGAGCGTGAATGATCCACTTATGTTGATGGAAGTTATATCGTTAATGTACAACAAGAAGAGCATTGGGCCCAGCACAGAACCTTGTGGTACACCACAACAAATATCACCGAATTCTGAAGTTTCTCCACATGTTCTCACAACCTGATTACGACCTGTGAGATAAGACTGCAGCCAGTTGTAGGAATTTCCTCTGAAACCATAACGGAATAGCTTCTGCAGCGCAGTATTTTGTGATTTACGCAGTCGAATGCTTTAGAAAAATCACAAAAGACTGCTGCTACAGCTTCATTTGTATTCAGGTGTATATATACTTTCACTTCCGATTTTACTGGAAACTACCCCAACTTTTGATTTTTGAATGGGACACCCTGTATTGTATGCCATATTCGGTTAGGGATTGTCATAAAGAATTTATCGATACCGGGTTTGATAGGGTTATTTCAAACGATTACGCAGGTATTCGCGTTCTAAGTTTGCATATGCTCAATGAGTGTGACAGAGAAAGAAGTTTTGATATTACGAAGTCACACCCTTTGAGTATATGAAAACTTCGAACGCAAATATCTTTGTAATCGTTTGAAATAACCCTATCAAACCAGGTATCGTTGAATTCGTCATGATGATCACTAACCGAATATGGAATACAATACAGGGTGTCCCATCTAAAAATCAAAAGTTGGGGTCGTTTGCGGTGAAACTGGGAGTGATAGAAGAAAAATTGTTTAATCAATTAATGAGCAATTTGGTATACTTGCTACCCACCAATTTTCAAAACCCTATCTGGAATAATTCAATTATTGAAAAACGGGTTCTTTTGGTAAAATAATTTATCATAAGTTAACGTGGTAATCATACATTGAAAATCTCTAGAATCAAGAAGTTGTATAAGCAATTGTGCCTCTCAAGGCAATTGAAAAACACAGTTTCTAACAAAATTTTATCACTGCTATACAGGGTATGTCACGATCAATCAGTCGGGAAAAATCCATAAAAATATGCATGCTTATATTTTAGGATACGGTCTCTTCATTTAAAATATTTTCGGCAATACAGTGTTGCCGCTTCTACTAGAAAGTAGTAGCAACATTGATATTTCAAATGGAACACCATGTATTTCATCGCATTTCTAGATTCTCCCTGAAGAGCTGATTTTATCGATATATCACACTTAGGGTCTATCGAAAAAGATTACAGAGATATAGATTTTTCAATTTTAGTTTTTTTTGTGTCGAAACTATTTATTATCGGTCAAAACAGCTCACATGTCCCTATCGCAACTTTTGTTTCACTATTTACTGATATTCAATCGGAACAGATACAGCGTGGTTCAAGATTCTGAATTCTGATCACTTGTATAGCCATGATGCATGATATTTCGAGTATTCATTGGAAAACAAAACACTCAGGTAATGACAGTGACAAGCATTATGAGTAGACAGTAAAAGTTTCTTCATTTTCATCGAATTTCGATTTAATTTTCCGTCAGAATATTGTATACTCAAAGTGAAAAGTGGACACTGTAGTGTTTAGATGATGTTTAGTACCCATCCTAGATCATAGATGCTCTGAGGTATCCATTTATATTTGTATTGGCAGGCCGAACGTGACAATTGACTTGCAGTCATATTTGAGTGATGATAATGAAACAGAAAACGACAAATGTTTTTTATTTAACAGGATGTCTGATAAATAAAAGTTATATCATATAATCTTACAGATACAAATTTTATATTCACAATTTTTTCATATCTCCAAAAACTGAAAGTTGGAGTTCAATTATTTACGACCCACCCTATATACTGTGTCTTCCTGCACTCTGCAGGTCATTTATCTAACTTTGACAAAGGATTCAAGGTGATGACATTTATTTGGAAACTTTCAGTAAATCACGAAAGATTCTATATTTTTTTCTGAGATGTATCTCATTCTATGTTAAAAAATGCCTATAGAAAGTTCTTTGTTCAGAAAAATATTCAAAAATGATAATGTTATCGCATATAAGTCGGTCAAATGTAAATGTCCGCCTATACAGGGTGCTTCGTTTCTGAGATACAGGGCGTTGAAATTAAAGAAAAAAAACGGTAATTACAAAATATCATGAATATCCTGGAACCGATTTGGTTGAAATTTGGTACTTTTATTTGTCAAATTTTCTAAAATTTCAGCATATCAAGTGTCAATTATATTTTTGGCGGAAATAATGAAAAACTCATTTCTCCAATGCAGGTGTTTATGATATGCAATACAGTGGCTTACATTTTTTTCTCGAAAACGAAGCTGGATATGAAGAAAAAACAGGAGACCAAAAAGTTGTATTCTGAGTTGCTCAATCTAAAAAAAAAATTTAAATCCACCCAAAAAAGTCAGTGGCGTACTTTTTTTCACAATATTGTTGGCTGTGGTGCTCACTGAGACGCCACTGGCCCCAATAATTTCAATCTAAATGGGGCTAAATAAGCGCCTAATTAGTTCAAATAAAAGTGCCAGATTTTAACCAAATCGGTTCCAGGATATTAATGATATATAATTACCGTTTTTTTTCCAAATTTCAACGCTCTATATCTCAGAAATGAAGCAACTCCGGACATATGTTAATGAGAACTTTTCTTCCTAAAATGACCTAACGAATCACCACCTGCAGTCAGGAACCGTAGTTAGGAAACACCCTGTATATCGAAATGCGGTTTTGACCGATCGACGTTTCACAAAAATCGAGCTCTAGACCCTTTGGTCAGTTTTTCACTAGCTGTTATGGAAAAAAGGAAAAATTACCAAAATCAAGCAATTGATGTAGGAATTTTCGAATTGAAAATTTCACTTGAAATTTTCAAGTTTTAATTTCACGGCGCGGAGAAATATTTCGATTTTGAAACGTTCATTTGGAAATTTCAATCGTCTCAACCCTACCTGCAAGTTTCTCAGCTGTACTTCCAATTCGTCTTTCCTGCTCTCTACTTCATTTAGTTGTTTTTTGTGCAAATCGATTTGATTGTGCAAGTCCACGACGTACTCTTTTGTTTTTTCGAGTGTTTCAACCACCTCTTTTTCCCTGGCTTTTCTCATTTGGAGTTCGGCCAACTGTTTCCCGACGTCCTCGTCGGCTGATTTACAGATTTCATTATTCTCCATTTGTTTTTGAAGGAGATGATGTTTGATTTGTTCCGCTGAAAGTAAACGCCTCTGAACAGCATTCTGATTTTCTAATAAGGCGATTTTGATGTTTTGTTGTCTGATGAAATAAGAGTCGCCCTCTTTGGGGCAATCTTTCAAGCTCTGTTTGATGCACCACAATCCTTTCTTGTTCGATGATATTTGTAGTTCCTGAATTCTGACTTGAGAATTGATTTCTTTCAGTTTTGCTGCTTCAATTTCTTTTTTGCACTGTTCCATTGCATTCACTAGATCTGCCTTTTCTTTCATTTGTTCCATTTTAGATGCTTCTTCCTACATTTGATAACATTTAATTTAATACAATTTAACATTCAAATTATATATTTCATTAAGATTTACAATGAAATAACATGAATAATCAGACAGATTCATATCTGGTATGAAATTATTCATGCGTTTTTGAATCTAAGTTATTGAAATAAACAACAGATTCAAAAATAATGATGATGAAACAAAAAGATCATGAAAAGTACATTATGACATGATGAAATGAATAAGTGAATGAGAAATCATTCACTCAGGTTTGATTTTCTCTTTGCAAGAAGATATGTTTTTTGGCTTTAATTTTGAATTGGGTGAATGAATGAAAATCTTGGTAAATGAGGTTTTGATAAATGCAGATGATAATTATAGCAGCGAAATATCGGCTGACAGCTATTTGACATGAAATTAGTTGACATTTGGATTTTCGAAAGTTTGGTTGCAATTATCGCAAAAAACTATCGACCTGCTGCTGCAGCGATAGTGAGTTTGAAGATGTCCATACGAAATTTCCAATGTAGCAGTTAGTAGGTATAGGTATTCCGTTCTGTAAATAACTATTTTTCCCGTACCTTTTTATTTTTTGTATCCCGCTACGCGTCGGAAGACAACACAACTTCGAGCAAAAATCTGAAACTTTTTCCCCTTGTATAATAATAGTTATTTATCATACAAGGGACAAAAGAAGTAGATATTTGCTCCAGGTTGTGCATCATTATCATTCTTTTGAAGTAATCAAATATCTGATGTCACTTCTGTCAGTCTAATCCTGTGATTTGATTTCAAAAAATTGCGAATTTAGTGGTTGTTTAGTAATATACGTAACCGCGAAGTCGAATGGAAGATAAAAGGACTTGCAGTTCTATCTCGGAGACGGTATTATTAACTCATTTTTCGGAACTATAGCACAACAAAAGCCATCAACAGTGTATATACAGTATGATGCAAATATATGGAATAAATTCATTTCAAAACAAGACAACTTTCGAAAAAAAAAAAAAAAAAACTAGAGTATAGAACTTTTTTTCGACGTATTTTTTTAACTAGACGACCCTTCGATGTTCAATTCTCAGTAGCAGACCTCTGCATGATTCAATTAATCACATGATAATCCATTTAATTTCAATCTTCTTATGCAACATTTTGACTGTTGAATAGACGATCGGTAGACCTTTCAATCAAGGTGTCACATGACCCCTATTTGTATTTGAAAAAATCGTCCATTACGTCTTTACTCCAACACCGATGACGTAACATCTCTCATATGAATATCATGAGATGAGGCTTCAGAAATTAAAACTCACGTGTTTTTGGAATTTTTTCAAATGTCGCCCATTTCTGAAATAATGAATTTATTCCATACATTTGCATCATACTGTAGATGTGATATATATCCGGAAAAAAAGTACTCTCTTCTTTCCCACGGGAGAAAGTTATTTATGAAAAGTGACATTTTATAACCTGCCAACAGAGATGAAATGCCAAACTTCTTTCCCGTCACAGAAAAAAAAAACAATGTCATTACCCTCTTCTTATATTCTTCCACTTGACACCTCAATCTATCATTTTCTTTTTTCAATTGGATATCATCGAGTTTTTGTGTCATGTTGTCAGCGTCCTTGTCATCATCGGTTAGATCAATGCAGTAATTCCCATTTGTCATCAATACTGATTGGTTTTGTGGTCCAGGCATTTTGTATTCCTGGAAATTTAAGGTTTTGCTAAAACAGACCCGGTGGCCCCCCAAGAACCGAGTTACTTCTGTAACTTCAAAGATTGAATTTATAAATTTCGACACCATACTGTATGATGAATGTCAATTTATCATACATTTCAAAAACGAATGTACTTTGCTGATTACCAAGTCACCGCTGTAACTTTAGAGTCATTTACAAATACTTTTTTATATTTTGACAGTTCGAAAGATATAAAGTGAAATTTAAGAAAAAATGATTTCGGTAATTATTTCTAATACTGACCTAATGAAAATTTCAGAAAGTTAACGATGCTTCCGACTTCCAACGCAAAAATAAAAATTCTTTTGTCTTATACAGGGTGTATCTAAATAACACCGAAAACATTCAGGGGGTATTTCCTTGTGACATTCCAGCAAATAAATTTCATATAAATATGTGTACTAACTTGCTCCGATTTTGAGATACAGGAGATTGAAGTTGGAAGTATTAATTGTTTTTATTTATAACCCCCCTGTATCATCTTTCATGGTGCCAAAATTCAGTATGTATGGAGACTGAGAAAGCCCCGAAATTTCAAAATGATTCTAATTGGGGATATTGAGTAATTTCAATGGAAGTTTTGAAAACACCTACATTGAAATTTGGAGTCAAATCGAATTTTAATTGTTTCCTCAAAAACGAAGCTAGATACAAAAAATCACACAGAAACCCAGAAATTCCGATGGTGTACGGCTATGTGAGTCTTCTCATGAAACACCCTGTATATGAATAAATGCAAAACGAAACTGAAGAATAAATCAATCACATACCTTCAATTCTCTTATCCAGTCAACGAGGTTTTTTCTTTGTGTATCCCTCAGATACCCCCACACTTCCTTCTTGCTAGCGATCGTGAACAATCCTTCAATATGACTCACTGGTCGGCAGAATCAATATGCAAATAATACAAATCCATAAGTTTATGTGTACAAGGTGTCCCAAATTGCTTGATTTTGTCAGTTTCTTCAATTTCCAGAACAAACGAAAAAGGTGCCTGTAGAAAGTTTTTTCTGTTTACAAAAATATTCAAAAATTAAAATGTTATGGCATATTTTCGAAGTCAGTCTAATGTACCGGATGTACCACTAAGAAAGGACGCCGGCTGTATCTCGGAAACTATTTGCCGCACAGGTTTCGAAAAAAAATATGAATGATGAAAGTGGCCAAGAGAAATATCTGGAAATTATTTTCAAGTTTCAAGGACAGCCCCTAAAGGGCGTAATTGCACTGGCCAGTTTGATAAACGGGTTTTTATGAAAATTTGCTACATCAAGTCATATCAAAATCACTTTTCTCATATTCTCCGAGTTCATTTCCGATCATTTCGATCAAACAAAATTGCGCTAGCTCTTTAAATGGAAGTGGGGGGAAAGGATGAATAGTACTTTGAAAAAACTCTCATTACTACAGTTTGGTGTAACGAAATTCAACGATCTTGGTCTCATTAGGGTTTTTTTGATTCTTCCAGATGCATCAAGAATCAAGTCGATTTAAATCTTGTGGTGGCCGCTAGATGGCATCGTTTGAAAAATCAGACAATTTTCCATTTTCTTACGAAAATTTCGAATGGAATCATATATTCATTCTACTCTAATATGAAAGTAGAGCAAACGAGAAGAAGAATGGTGAAAACCGCGAATTGATACCTCTTGAGGAACTGGTGAAATACTCGAAATAATATAATGAGAATATTCCCAACAGGAATCTAACTTCCAATAATCGTAATTAGGTTAGGTTAGGTTAGGTTAGGGAATGAGAAAAGGCAAGTTGGCTTTGAATGAAAGAAACGTCAAAATATAATTGAAGTTCCATTGGAAGTTTTCACTGTGGATTGCTCATTTGTCAAAATGCCGATAACGAATGAGGAGGCATTTGACTTGCTAACAGTTCAAATTTTAATATTATTCCGAGTATTTCTCCGGTTCTTCAAGAGGTATCAACTCGCGGTTTTCACCGTTTTTCTTCTCGTTTACTTCACTTTCATATCATAGCAGGCAAAATATATGGTTCCGTTTGAAATTCTCAAAAAAAAAAAAGGCAAATCGGCTGATTTTTCAAACGACCACCACGGGATTTAAATCGACTTGATTCGTGATTTATAAGGAAGATCTACAAAAAACCCTTCATAATGAGACCAAGATCGCTTAATTCCGTTACACCAAACTGTAGTAATAAGATTTTCACCAGAGTACTATTCATCCTTCCTCCATCTTTTATTTAAAGAGCTAGCGCAATTTTTTGATCGAAATGATTGGAAATCAACTCGAGAACATGGAAAAAGTGTTTCTGATATGTCTTGATATATCGAATTTTCATAAAAACCCGTTTTTTAAATTGGCCAATGCAATTATGCCCTCTAGCGGCTGTCCTGGAAACTTGGAAATAATTTCCAGAAATGTTCTTGGCCACTTTTATCATAAACATTTTTTTCCGAAACCTGTGCGGCAGATGGTTTCCGAGATACAGCCGGCGTTCTTTCCTAGTGGTACACCCGGTACATTTTCGCCTATATATCGAAAACGTTTAGAGATATTGAAACGCGTTTTTCACCAATCGACGTTTCACAAAAATCTCTCTAGACCCTTTGGTCAGGTTTTCTCTAGCTGTTCTGGAAAAAGAAAAAACTGCCAAAATCAAGCAATTTGCGGGGTACAGTGTTTTTCTTTAATGTCTCCCCACCTTTTATTTTTTGAACGGGTCAACTGAAAAAATTGAAACTTAGAATAATGAATGAATACTATATTTTGGAGTAAAATTGACAGATGAAAATCAATCAATATCACCTACTACAAAATGGCATAAGGACCCCGCACTTTTAGTACGTAAAATGGTTCTCGGTGAAATTTTCTGAATTTTCAGTATGTTGTAGAATTCGATGAACTGATTGAACCTGCAGACTCGTAAAGTTCTTTGATGAACAGATTCTGAGATACAGGGCGTTGAAGTTACAAATCGGTATTTTTCATTTAATTATTTTCTCGAAATTCAAAGATGCCAACTACAATTTTTTCGCTCATATCATTAACGAACCTCCATATTACTCAGCATAATTCAGATGGTTCAGATGATGTAATTGTTTACAGAGTGAAACATATAAACATTTCAGTGATGTCTGAAAATTCGATGTAATAATGAAATATCGAAAAAATAATTTAGACATGCAATATACTATTCTCATTCCATCATGAATCACAATTCATACATTTCATACAGGGTGTTTTGAAAAATTGGTGACACCTAAGACCGATTTATTCATACACATCCTGTATAGTCGAGTGAATTGTTAACCTCCCAAGATAGCTGATACCGTATGAACATGATTTCGTTGAGATATATAGGGTGATCATGAAGATTTTCGATGATGAAAATGACAAAAAATCATGTTTTTTGAAATCACCCTGTTATTCATGATTAACTCGGTGAAATTCCCTAATTAATTTTCAATATATTCATCATTCGCTCCTCAACGCTGTCTTGGAAATTCAGTTTCCTATCATGACGGGTGTTATAGTTATCAATTCAGGAACTTACCATTTGCATGAAATTTTTGCTATTTCTGCAATTTTCAGGCATTTTTGCAATTTCTGCAATTTTCAGGCATTTTTGCAATTGTTGCAATTTCCAGCAATTTTTGCAATTTTCAGGAATTTTTGCAATTTTTGCTATTTCTGCAATTTTCAGGAATTTTTGCAATTTTTGCAGTTTTTAGGATTTTTTGCAATTTTTGCTATTTTCAGGAATTTTTGCAATTTTTGCAGTTTTTAGGAATTTTTGCAATTTTTGCAATTTCCAGGCATTTTTGCAATTTTTGTAATTTTCAGCAATTTTTGCGATTTTTGCAATTTTCAGGCATTTTTGCGATTATTTCAATTTTCAGGAATTTTTGCGACTTTTGTAATTTTTGCAATTTTCAGGCATTTTTGCGATTCTTGCAAATTTCAGGAATTTTGCGATTTTTGCAATTTTCATGATTTTTGCGATTTTTGCAATTTTCAGGAATTTTTGCGATTTTGGCAATTTTCATGATTGCGATTTTAGCAATTTTCATGATTTTTTGCGATTTTAGCAATTTTCATGATTTTTTGCGATTTTTGCAATTTTCAGGCATTTTTGCGATTTTTGCAATTTTCAGGAATTTTAGCGATTTTTGAAAATTTTCATGATTTTTTGCGATTTTTGCAATTTTCAGGAATTTTTGCGATTTTGAAAATTTTCATGATTTTTTGCGATTTTTGCAATTTTCAGGCATTTTTGCGATTTTTTCAATTTTCAGGCAATTTTGCGATTTTTGCAATTTTCAGGCATTTTTGCGATTTTTGCAAATTTTGCAATTTTCAGGAATTTTTGCGATTTTAGCAATTTTCATGATTTTTTGCGATTTTTGCAATTTTCAGGAATTTTTGCGAATTTTGCAATTTTCAGAAATTTTTGCGATTTTAGCAATTTTCATGATTTTCTGCGATTTTTGCAATTTTCAGTCATTTTTGCGATTTTGGCAATTTTCAGTCATTTTTGCCATTTTTGCAATTTTCAGGAATTTTTGCGATTTTTGCAATTTTCAGTCATTTTCAGTCATTTTTGCGATTTTTGCAATTTTCAGGAATTTTTGCGATTTTTGCAATTTTCATGATTTTTTGCGATTTTTGCAATTTTCAGGCATTTTTGCGATTTTTTCAATTTTCAGGCATTTTTGCGATTTTTGCAATTTACAGGCATTTTTGCAATTTTTGCAATTTTCATGATTTTTTGCGATTTTTGTTATTTTCAGGCATTTTTGCGATTTTTGCAATTTTCAGGCATTTTTGCGATTTTTGCAATTTCCAGGCATTTTTGCAATTTTTGCAATTTTCATGATTTTTTGCGATTTTTGCAATTTTCAGGCATTTTTGCGATTTTTTCAATTTTCATCATTTTGCGATTTTTGCAATTTTCAGGCATTTTTGCGATTTTTGCAATTTTCAGGAATTTTTGCGATTTCAGCAATTTTCATGATTTTTTGCGATTTATGCAATTTTCAAGAATTTTTGCGAATTTTGCAATTTTCAGGCATTTTTGCAATTTTTGCAATTTTCATGATTTTTTGCGATTTTTGCAATTTTCAGGCATTTTTGCGATTTTTTTCAATTTTCAGGCATTTTTGCGATTTTTGCAATTTCCAGGCATTTTTGCGATTTTTGCAATTTTAGCAATTTTCAGGAATTTTTGCGATTTCAGCAATTTTCAGGCATTTTTGCGATTTTTGCAATTTTCAGGAATTTTTGCGATTTTAGCAATTTTCATGATTTTTTGCGATTTTTGTTTTTTGCGATTTTTGCAATTTTCAGGCATTTTTGCGATTTTTTCAATTTTCAGGCATTTTTGCGATTTTTGCAATTTTCAGGCATTTTTGCAATTTTCATGATTTTTTGCGATTTTTGCAATTTTCAGGCATTTTTGCGATTTTTGCAATTTTCAGGCATTTTTGCGATTTTTGCAATTTTCAGGCATTTTTGCAATTTTTGCAATTTTCATGATTTTTTGCGATTTTTGCAATTTTCAGGCATTTTTGCGATTTTTTCAATTTTCATAATTTTTGCGATTTTTGCAATTTTCAGGCATTTTTGCGATTTTTGCAATTTTCAGGAATTTTTGCGATTTCAGCAATTTTCATGATTTTTTGCGATTTATGCAATTTTCAAGAATTTTTGCGAATTTTGCAATTTTCAGGCATTTTTGCAATTTTTGCAATTTTTATGATTTTTTGCGATTTTTGCAATTTTCAGGCATTTTTGCGATTTTTTTCAATTTTCAGGCATTTTTGCGATTTTTGCAATATCCAGGCATTTTTGCGATTTTTGCAATTTCCAGGCATTTTTGCGATTTTTGCAATTTTTGCAATTTTCAGGAATTTTTGCGATTTTAGCAATTTTCATGATTTTTTGCGATTTTTGCAATTTTCAGTCATTTTTGCGATTTTCGCAATTTTCAGGAATTTTTGCGATTTTTGCAATTTTCATGATTTTTTGCGATTTTTGCAATTTTCAGGC